TTAAATTTGAGTAATCTAGATTGCTTATGATAGCTCAATTATATATGTAATCCAGTTTGAAAGGTGAAATCTGGGATACACTGTTCTACGCAAGCATTGCAAGCATAAACATAAACAAGATTGTTTCTTATAAAAGAATTTAGTCTAAGTTAAACTTTTTTTTTTGAAAAATTTCTTTCATCTGAGTATGTGACAATTTAGAATCGATAATCCAAGTTGCATCTCTTGTCTTTTTTTGTTGTTGTTGTTGTTAAAGGCCTGCATCTTTTGTTATTTATTACTCGAGTAAGACTTTTTAATGCTCTAACTACACTCAATTGTTTTACATTTAGATTTTTTACATAATCTAATTTTAGATAATTCTATATTCAAATAAATAACTGCTTCTGGTTTTTTTCAATGTATAAAATAAAAGTAAATGATATTATAATTAAATTTTATTTTCCCAGTTTCATTTCGGACAATAAAATTAAGAAAACAAATGTAATCCTCTCTTGTACAGATCGATAATTTCAGAGCTTCGGAACGACCACCGAACACAATCAAACAACACGTCTATAACAATCTTCTTTAGGCACAGGCCTAATAGTAAACCATTTTAGTTTAATAGGAAAAGTTAAGTAATATCTTTAATTAAATTAATTCAAACATAAGAAACAATTAAATGATATTCTCCCGCAGCGAAGCGCGGGTATTTACCTAGTATCTTCCTAATAAAATGCTGAATTATGTATTAATATTGATATAACCTATTATATAACCAAAATAATGTCAATGGCATAAACTGTAATTAGTCTAGTAATATGTGTCTTAATTAAAATTTAACTTGAAAATGAATCTAGTGATGACACATCAAGATAACATTTTTGATAATAATACATGATACAAATATTTCTTTTATATTTGTCTTAAAATATTAGAGATTTAAAAGCTGTCATGTGATTAGTGGGTTCGCCACTATTAACATGTACCTTATAATTGATTAATGAAGTAGTACGTACATTTCAAATCCATCTTTCAGTACCAAAATTATTTGCATCAACAAACCAAAGAAACAAAATCTCATTTCTAGGCTAGGATCGACCTTAAATTTACTATAATCAATTTAAGACTTATTCGGATCCTAGCCTATAATTACTTATCAAACTAATCTAATTATAACCATTTAAGACTTATTCAGCTCCAGATTGGGAAGAAAACTAATTCAAAGTGACTAGCATAGTGAAATATATAGATGTAAGATCAAGAGTTTAGCATGACAAATATTCAGAGATATATCGATATATAACAAAAAGAAAAAAAAAACTATTAAGAAAAAAGAAGAATAAAACCTTGTTTCAAAACAAAACAAAATGAAAAAATGGAATGTGATAATGGTGATAATGATGGTGATGATTGCTGCGATAGGAGGAGAAGCAAATAACATAAATAGAGAGACTTGGATAGGTTGCTTCCAGTCTTGTTCTCGTAATTGTAGCGAATCCGACGGAAATTGCTATGAAGCTTGTAAGATCAAATGTGGTGGTCTCACTCCTTCCGAAACTAACTCAAGGTATTAAAAAAAAAAAAAAAAAAAAAAAAAAAAACCGAGAGAATGGCAGCAATTTCGATTGATTATTCTGATTCGGTTCTGGCTCAACGTACCTAGATTGAGATAATTTTTATATGGTTAACTTGTCACCTTTATATCTTAAAATAAAGATATTGACTGGTTTTATCACTACATAGTATAGTTTTCTTTTTTTATCAAATTTTGAAATTTTATATGCTGTACATAATTAGGAATTCACCTGAACTAGGTTCGATGTACACTGAAGATACGGAGGCTCGAGAAAAGAAAAACTGATCATAAAAAGAAATCGATAAATGACTTTTCGCCAAAGTTCAATAAGACACACCTTCAAACACACATGTATACTTATTCCATTTTTTTTATAACCCACATTTTTGCAAGTAATTTATTTTCTCGTATACAATGAATTCGTCTGAAGTTGCTATGAAGGTTGTAAGATCAGATTTGGTGGTCTCACACTTCTGAAACAACTCAATGTATAGTTTTTTAAGGGTGATTTCTGTAGCTTCTAACATAATTTTTTTTTGTGCAAATACTTGGTTTTCCATTAAAACTTAAACCGGTTTGATTTATAGTCTAAAGAGCTGGTAGTATAGTATAGTCTACATTTACTTGTTTTCGGCAACGAAATGATAAAAATATTTTAAATCAAGATACATGGTTTTTACATGGCGCATAACTATTTACTTAGCTAGTTTCCCACTAAACATAGCGGAAAAAAGCTTACACATAGAACGTTGTTAGGATAGGGGTTTAGGTTTGGGTTTCATATTTAGGATTTTTGGGTTAAGGGGTTAGGTTTAGGGTTTATTTTTGGGGTCATGGGGTTAAAATTTATTGTTTTTTTTGTTTGTGCAAAGGTTAAAATTTATTGTTTCAAGTTGAAGTTTTAGAGTTTAGAGTTTAATACTTAGAGTAATGTGTTTTTTGGTTAAAAAACCTTTCGAGTAATGTGTTTCTCGTTTACATGCACCAAAGTTTGTACATATGTTCACTTATTCTTGTTGTATTTATGCTAATGTGACATCAACAAAATATTTTGGAGGGAAAGTTACCATTTTTTTCTTTGTGGGTGGAAGGAAATTATCTCAATTATGGAAGGAGAATATTGTCCAAAAACATTTCTCTTTGTTATTCTCTAAATTTTTTCATTTATCATAGCTATATTCTTAATTCTCAATATTGTTATTGAGCAAATTAGCCCTTATTACATTTTCTATGTGTCTTATTTTTTCTCTATACATTTGATTTTTTAGAAAGTAGTTTCATATTAAACTTTATTTGAATATTTAATTGACATTTTTGAAAATATATTCTTGTTTGAAATCCTTTTTTTTACATTTTTGAATTGTCAAAAGAAAAGTTAAAAGTTTCTTTTAGTTGAAAATAGGTTTCTTTTAATTTGATGTTTGAGCCAAAAAAAAAAAAAATTCCGCCAATTCATCTTTTGATTGGAATAAAAATATTTGGCAAGTTTGTACAGCACTAAAAATCAAAAATTGCCTTTGTATATAGATGGTAAAATTTTGCTGGTGGTTAAAGCTTTGGCCACATGGAACTGCTGTAGACACCTATAGCAAGCGTTGTGGCCAGCATGGCAAACTCACAACCTCTCTGTGCAACTCCTTCAAAGTGCAGCAAAAATGATTACTCTATTAGATGTGATGAGAGCTTGTGATTGGAAGAATATTGTAAACTAAATAGATACAAATCTGTAAATATCTTTATATATTAAATAATACAATATTTATTTTTTATTATCTTTTACATCCTCTAATAGTAAGCACTATTTATTATCCTAGGAATTGGGAAGAAACATGAGTTTTATAGTGCTTTTAGCAAATTCAGTTTGACTTAGTTTGGGGAAATTACCAATTCTAGACCACAATTTGATTTTTTCTAGTCAACTAGACCACAATTTAAATCAAATGCAAAACTAACCTCTTTGGGTAGTAAAATTACCCCACAAGCCCTCATGACCAAACAAAAAAACGCATGCCTCAATTACGATTATAACCTCCGGAGCATGTAGATCTACCCCGTAGATCTACCTGGTAGACAATGTTAGAGGTCTACCTCATAATAACATCTTCAATTTTAATTAACAATTAAATAAAAAATATTTTTATACAAACAAAAGTATGAATAATTCTAATATAGACATTATCATATACAAAAAATATGAATGCATACAAATGAATGATTTATAGATAAGCAAAGACATATAGGTTAATATCTATAAAAATGTGTGAGGTCTACCGAGTAAGTCTACTACTCCCTCCGTTTCAAATTAGTTGTCGTTTTGGCAAAATGTATCTGCAAATATTTGGACGTATCTACAATGCAAAACACGTCCAGATACGTCCAAATATTTGCAGATACATTTTGCCAAAACGACAACTAATTTGAAACGGAGGGAGTATATCATTAAACTTAAATTTTTATTATAAAAATTTAAAAGAAAATATTTTGATGGAAATTATTTATACATAATTACAATACAGACAACTTGCATCTATCTAAAATATAATTTCATAGATTTGAACCAACTGAACTATGAAAAAAAAAAATAAAGTTAAAAGCCTATAAAACCATAAGAGGTCTACCAAGTAAGTCTACTAAATAATAAAATCTTAAATTTAAACTAAGAAAATTGTAAAAAATAATTTGAAATATTTATTTCACAAATAACGAAATAATAGACATTTCACATCTATTAAAAATAAAATTTCATAAAAAATCATGAATCTATCATATGTAAATAGTTCATAAGGATAAGAGTTTGAGTATATTGTTTAGGAGTTAATGGGGAGAGTTGTAGGGTTTTGAAAAATTTTAGATGAAGAATTTTTTTTGGTTGGTTTTACGATTCAATGTTTGTTTATTTGTGATATACACTGTAAATTGACAATATGGCAAGCAAATCGTTGCAAAATTGTATCTAAATGATTCGATTTAGGGTTTAGGGTAAAGTAGACCTAACAAGTAGACGGATCGCGTAGACCGAAGTGGAGGTCTACCAACCCTTTTAATCTAGCGGGAATCCCAAAAAATTTAAACCAAAGTGGCGGGAACTGGAAATTACCAGCTGAAATCGAAATATTTAGACTTTGTTAGTAGATCTCTTTAGTAGACCTCGTTAGTAGACATTAAATCTACTTAAACCGGATATTTCACTCCAAAAGAAATATACCACTCCAATTAAACCGGATTGATTTTAACTAAACCGAAACAAATTAACCTTCATATATAAAGAAAGAGTTAACCTAATTGTGTTAAAAAAAAAAATCTCGATCTCTCTCTCAAACGGCGCCTCCCTCTCCTCTCTCTCCTTGAACCTCCGCCCATCTTGTTCATCATCTCTATCACCGTTCATTCATCTCTTTCACCGGATATTTGCCCACCTCCAGTCTCTAGCCGCCGTCTGATGCACTAGTAAGTCATTTATCTCCTCTCCAGAAAAAATCTTAATCAGATCTGAGTTGCAACATAATGTATTAACTTTTTTTTTTCTAGATCTGGGCGCCATAGCCTCTTTAGAGGAAGGAGGATCCGAGCACAGAAGAGATGGGAATCTATAGTTCTTCTTCCTCCTCAGCCTACATCTCCTTCTCCGATAGCTACCGTCACCGCCGACGTAAAACCCACAACTACCACCGCCAAAATTCCGGGTATTCTAATTGTCTGCGCCATTAGCGTTTTTAAACCAATTTGCTCCATTTTTTTGTCTAGTTTGTGGTTTAAAGCTGAAATTAAATTTTTTGAGTAAATGTGATATTGTTAATGTGCTGGAGAGTGTTGGGATGAGACTTGTTTCTTCACAGTTCTCCTTCTTTCCCCAAAATTCGTCAGATCTGTTCTCACATGGCGTTTTTGCTGAATTTGATAAAATTTAGCTTTTGACAAGAAAAGCCAAAAATCAGTATACCTGGATAGGTTTGCTGCAATTCCAGCAACGTTGAAGGAGCTACAAGTAAGCTTTTTCTTCTCATTATTTGAAATCCTTTTTCTTTGATTTGCAAATCCTAATTGGATAGTGCTCATTTGATGATGCAGAAAAAAAGGTGTAAAGACAACAAGCTTGTTATAACTGCAGAAAGGTGAGCTTCCTTGTATAGGCTATGATAAAACAGTAGCTAAAGTAGAATTTTAGATTGGTAAATAACATTTTCGCTCATGTTGCAGCATCACATATGTCCTGGAGATGTTACATGGGATTCAGAATGAAAACAAGAGCTTAAAGAAATCTTTCAAGGTAATTCATGAAACTTAAGTAGTCTCTGATTCATTTGCTTTTGTAGAATGCATTTTAAGTAGTCTCTGATTCATGCTTATTGTGAAGTCGTAGCTTAGATCTAATCACAAATATCCATATTTCGAGCTTCTAACATTTGAAAGCATTGTTTGAAGTAGTTTCTGATTCATCATTCCTTTTTGTCCTGTCTATTGGAAAGGCTTGTGCTTGTGGGAATAATGTAGGTGTTTGGTTTATACTGCAGCTTCCTAGCATTGCTGTTGAACGTGGAAGTGCAAGCATTGTTTATCAAATTGCAGAAAAATGGAATTTATATTCCAAAGGAGAGGTATGCTCAAGAAGAAGCTGAGAAAAAGGTGCATTTTTCTCTTTTGTTTTATAATGAATCTCAAGATCTTGAACTCTTGCGGTTTTCCTCTTTATGTAGAGAGACTTGGTTCATTTCCTCTCGGAGAACTTGCTAACGTTTTTTGTTTTACTGATTGGAATTGTGTTAGGCGTCTAAAGATAAGAAGAGCTTGGATGTCGGTGCCAACAACCTCTTCATTGGAAACCAAGCCCTTCATTGGAAACCAAGCCCTTCATTGGAAACCAATATGCATGCAAGATTACACAGAAGCTGCCACAGTTGTGTTTCTATTCTCCGTTGCAGATGGAAGCTTTTGTAAAGCCAAGCCTTTTTCTTAGTTTTAAGTACTTTTAGTTTTAAGTTTAAACACTTGTTGCTTTCGAATTTGAGCTTTTTAGATTGTAAGACTTTGCATTTGCACTTCTAGACATAATTGGTGTTGTCACTTGATGTTTTCTGGAGGACTCGACCAATCAATTACATAATGTTTGATCAATAGTTGAAACCAAACTTGCCCAAAATTTGCTAACCCTTTGGTATATTACTATATGTCAATGACTATTAGCACAATTAGCTTCTTCACCTAAAACTAACTACCAACTTGGTATATGTCCAAAATTTGCTAACCCTTTGGTATAACAGAATTAGCATCTTCACCTAAAACGAACTACCAACTTGGTATAAGGTCTTCCTATGCCTAGAACATTGAACTTCCATATCCGACATGTAGTACAACCATCAGAAGTAGAACATTCTCCCTCCTTTTCCTTTATCCATCTCAAAATGCCATGACTTGTCTTCCATCACCATCCATTTTCCATAAACGGAAGCTAGACAAACCATTACCTGCAACAAAAACAAACCAGATCACAAAATGGATTAGTAGACAGAAGGTGTAGACCGACAAGGTAGACCCACAATTTGGTCTACCAGAAAAATTAAGCTAGTTACCTAATTCAAAAGAAAACCGAATATAGCCTTAATTACGCCGAAAGAACATTTCAAACTCACACAGAAGCAAGTAAACAAATAAAAACAACTAACTGTTCGAGAAATTTCAAAATATTTGATATATTGAAAGGAAAACGACATTTTAAAAAACACATAATAATAGACCTAAAACGTAGACGTTCGGAGTAGACGTTACATGGTAGACCTCCACTTAGGTCTACTCCACGTGGACGGCCACGTGGAGGGTTAGTTTTGCAATTGATCGAGAAAAATGTTTTTTTGGAGGTCTACCTTGTCGGTCTACTACACGTGGAGGGTTAGTTTTGCAATTGACCAAACGTTGACTTTTACACGAGGTCTACCGTGTACGTCTACCAGAAAACGTAGACCTCTCAATCGGTCTACCAAAAAAAGTAGACCTCTGAATTAGTCTACGCCTTAGGTCTACCTACCGAAAACAGTTTGTTTTGCCGTTGACTCAAGTTTGACTTTCCTCGGGTAGACTTCCGTGGTAGACCTCAGTTTTTTGCGTTGACCAGTAGACCTCACTTGCGGTCTACCAGATGGTAGACCTACACGGTAGACCTCAATGACGCAAAATCTCTCCTTTTTGAGGAAAGTCAAACTTGAGTCAACGGCAAAACCAACTTTTTTTTTTAGGTAGACCTAAGAGGTAGACCTCCGAAAAACATTTTTCTCTATCAATTGCAAAACTAACCCTCCACGTGGAGTAGACCGACAAGGTAGACCTAAAAAAAAACATTTTTCTCAATCAATTGCAAAACTAACCCTCCACGTGGAGTAGACCTAAGTGTAGGTCTACCACTCATTTTTTTTGTTTGCAAAGGAAATGGCACAGTCAACTCTGCGTTGACCAGTAGACCTAAACTGAGGTCTACTATGTAATGGTAGACCTACACTTCAGTCTACCTTCGCAGACCAAAACTGAAATTCTTAGATGGTCGTGGACAGATCAAGAACAATGGAGAGCTTCTCACTTTGTCTCTAGACAAATCCTCTGGCTCTGGATTCCAATCCAAAAACGAGTACTTGTTTGGTAAAATCGGCATGCAAATGAAACTCGTCCCTGGAAACTCCGCAGGAACAGTCACAACACTCTACGTAAGTTTTATTATATTTTAAAAACGATCTTTAATTTTGTCTTTTATTTCTTCTTAATTACAAATATAAAGTTCTTGTTTCTGAAATGGGTTTTGTTTGGTTTTTTTCTTGCAGTTGAAATCACCTGGAACAACATGGGACGAGATAGATTTCGAGTTCTTGGGGAATCAAAGTGGAGATCCTTACACACTTCACACAAATGTCTACACACAAGGCAAAGGAGACAAAGAACAGCAATTCAAACTCTGGTTCGACCCCACAGCTGATTTCCACACTTACACCATTCTATGGAACCCACAACGGATCATCTTCACCGTTGATGGAACTCCGATCAGAGAATTCAAGAACATGGAGTCTATAGGTACTCTGTTCCCAAAGAACCGACCAATGAGGATGTACTCTAGTCTCTGGAACGCAGATGATTGGGCAACGAGAGGTGGTTTGGTCAAAACCGATTGGTCTAAAGCTCCTTTCACTGCTTCCTACCGTGGCTTTCGCCAAGAAGCTTGTGTTTGGTCAAACGGAAAGTCTTCTTGTCCTAAGGGCTCGAAACAAGGAGCCACTGGCTCGTGGCTGTCTCAGCAGCTTGACTCAACGGCTCAAGAAAGGATGAGATGGGTGCAGAGAAACTACATGATCTATAACTATTGTACGGATACAAAGAGATTCCCTCAAGGTCTTCCAAAGGAGTGCTTGGCTGCGTAGAGACTTGAGAGTAAAAGAGCTGAGAGAAATATCTACTTTCTTTTGTTTGTTTGATTTAAAAATTCTTTTGATTTTATTGTAGGTCACATGAATTATATTCATTCGTTTGTACCAATTCGTTAAAGTAATATGATTCTTGTGCTACTTTTTTACATTTTTATCTTTTAACTTCTAATAGCTAATTGACAAAAAAAAAATAAAACCAGAAAACCCAAATTATTCATGTTCTTTCCATTGAAACAAGAATGAAATTGGCATGTTTACTAAAGAAGCAACTGCACCATATGCAAAAGAAGCTAAAAAAAGTCTATTGATTTGGTTTACCGACTACTTTGAGACTTTTTTTGGTTATTGGTTATGTAGAATTGTATGGAATTGTTTTATGCTGTAAAATATCAACACTAATTTTCGTTAGAACTCTTGTTACTGTTCCTAGTTTTCCTAGATAATTTGTTTTAACTCTCACTCAAGACTACAATTTGATGTGAACCTAAAGATGCAATGTTCTTAATTCTTATTGTGCCAAACTGAATTTTACAACTTGATTTTATTGACAGAGTGCAACGATCTCAAACCGAATAAGTCAGAAAACAAGATATCCTAACCAAATCACACATATGCAGAAGCAAAACCACTTAAAACAAGGTAAAAAATAAAATCCCAAATCGAACCGGGCTTATACTGAACCGGATCAGACAGACTTAAACCAAAACAAAGAATGAGCGTACACGTAGCATGAGGCAAAAGTAAGCACCTGCTTGTTTCACAATAACCAGCTGTTCACAGATTAAACAACACAAGAGTCACAAACGGCGAACTAAACTCCAAAAGGACCAAGACTAGCCTACTTGTATAAAACTGTCCCCAATACACACGGTCCCAATGAGTATTTTCAATTTCTTAAACTTATTGACACGCAAGCATGGACCGTTCCACTTTGATCTTATCTATTTTATTCACACTCACCGCTTTGACCACGACCTTCTTCTCCCCGGTACTCGCCGGAACTTTCGACAAAGAATTCGATATCACTTGGGGTGATGGCCGTGGCAAGATCCTGAACAACGGAGAGCTTCTCACTCTCTCTCTTGACAGAGCCTCCGGTTCTGGTTTTCAGAGCAAGAAAGAGTATTTGTTCGGAAAAATCGATATGCAGCTCAAACTCGTCCCCGGAAACTCTGCCGGAACTGTCACTGCCTATTACGTTAGTGTTACATAATATCAATATACATGTCAAAATTTCATATCTAGAATAAAGTGTGTGCTTGCTTTATTGGCTGTCTTATGGCAAGTGAAAACGTTCGAATATAAGCTTATTAAAATAATTATTTAAGTAAATTCTAAATATATGTTAAGTGTTTTCTTGCACATAACTGTTTAAGACGGTCATGGGGATTGATGTTCTTTTATATACTTGATTAGGTATTTTATTTATGCTTTGTGACATGTGATTTTCAACGGTTGTTTTTGATGCAGTTGAAGTCACCAGGTGATACGTGGGACGAGATAGATTTCGAGTTTCTTGGTAATCTAAGTGGTGATCCGTATGTGATGCACACGAATGTGTATACTCAAGGCAAAGGTGATAGAGAACAACAATTTAATCTCTGGTTCGATCCAACGGCTGATTTCCACACTTACTCTGTTCTATGGAACCCTCATCGCATCGTGTAAGTATAAAGTAACAAAGACATATGTACATATATCAAATAACTTGTTAATACTTGTGGCTAGATTCAAAAAAAAAATTCATTTATGTGTTTTGATGCAGTTTCATGGTTGATGGAATTCCGATAAGACAATTCAAGAACCTAGAGCATAGGGGGATTCGGTATCCCAAAATGCAGCCGATGAGGCTATACTCGAGTCTATGGAACGCGGACCAATGGGCTACAAGAGGAGGTCTTGTTAAGACGGACTGGTCCAAGGCACCATTCACAGCTTCTTACAGAAACTTTAGAGCGGATGCATGTGTCTCGTCGGGCGGAAAATCATCTTGTCCCGCGAGTTCACCAAGATGGTTCTCTCAAGGGCTTGATCTAACGGCGGAGAGTAAGATGAGAGTGGTGCAGAGGAAGTATATGGTCTATAACTATTGTACGGACTCCAAAAGGTTTCCGCAAGGATTTCCAAAGGAGTGTGGTATTCACTAGTTTCGGGAACTTTGTGTAGTTGGTGTAGTTGAGTAATGTTTGGTCCGAAACTAGTAGTATATAAGGTACGTTCAAATTATGTATGTAATGTTAATGTGTATTCAGGGACACTAAGTTTGACAAATTCCCCTGTAAATTCCCCTGTTTCTGTGTATATATTCATAATAAAATGAGCGTGAATTATGTTGTTTATATCTCAAGTTTTTTTACCTCAAAATAAATCTGAAGTTGTAGATTATGGTTTATTTTATTTATTCACAGATAAAGTATAAAATTTAATTTGTGTGTTTAAGATTTACAGAATTTTGACTATGATTGGGTGGGATTATTAAATTTTAATTTGTGTGTTTAAGATTTACAGATTGACTGGGATTATTTATCTGCCTGAATGAATATTCTACTTTTTTGTTTTTTTTGGTTATCATGCAAATAATGGGAAAGATTCAAAGAATAATGTTTCACGTAGTTCCCTTAAACTATGCGTGACAATTCTTGCATATGTGGCTGACACGTTTGTCCTATAGTTCAAATACATGTCGGTCCATACTAAAACCAAAACAAATATTCCATCTTAAATAATCCTTTATCAACAAAAACATTTCATCTTATAAGACTTTTTTGTATGAACTTTGGGCTTATCACTTGTTTAAATAAATTATAAAAAAATACTAACAAGTAACCAGCCGGATTAAATAAATTATCATTTGAAAACAATTTGTAAATGATACAAGGAACCTACATGATAGTTTATATGTAAGCTTTGACATAATTCATTCATGTACGTAAACAATAAGGACTATAAAATTCCTTAGTGTAAGAGTACCACGTCGATAATGGGACTCCACGAACCTCTCTAATGCACTCGTTTTCCCAAAGATATATCTCTCTATATAAACACCAATCTTTGATCATAATCAAACAATATCGCAAAACAATTACTCTTAGACAACAACAGAGCAAAACCCATTTAAAAAAAATGGCGGCTTTTGCGACCAAACACTCTCTGTTGTTGTTATCGTCTCTTCTGCTCTTGATCGGCGTAACCACCGGAAGTTTCTACGACAACTTCGATATCACTTGGGGTAACGGTCGTGCCAACATATATGAGAACGGACAGCTCTTGACTTGCACTCTAGACAAGATCTCCGGTTCAGGTTTCCAGTCGAAGAAAGAGTATCTTTTCGGAAAGATCGATATGAAGATGAAACTTGTCGCCGGAAACTCAGCCGGAACAGTCACTGCCTACTACGTACGTAAAAAACATCTATCTACGTTTTTTTTTAGTTTTGTGGCATTTATTGTATGGTTTTGGTTCTGATGTTAAGAATGTGTTTCTTTCACAGCTTTCTTCCAAAGGCGAGACATGGGATGAGATCGATTTCGAGTTCTTGGGTAATGTTACAGGACAGCCATATGTCCTCCATACAAATGTGTTCACCGGAGGTATAGGTAACCGTGAAATGCAGTTCTATCTCTGGTTTGATCCCACTGCCGACTTTCACACCTACACCGTTCATTGGAACCCTCTCAACATCATGTAAGTAAATTTGATTAATTGTTATTAAAAAAACGTTTATAAATTATACGGTGTTTAGACCTTATAACATATCTTGTTTTGTTCCACTTTTAGCCGTTTTGAATATAATGGTTCTTGATTTTGATCAAATCCATTACGGTTCTTGATTTTGTGTGTTTTTTTTTTTTTTTTTTTTCTTGGGATCTCAAAAAGCTTTCTAGTGGACGGAATCCCAATCAGGGTGTTCAAGAACAACGAGGTTCACGGTGTGGCTTACCCTAAGAGCCAGCCGATGAAGATCTACTCGAGTCTATGGGAAGCTGATGACTGGGCCACGCAGGGCGGTCGAGTCAAGACCGACTGGACCAACGCTCCATTCAGCGCTTCCTACAGGAGCTTCAGCGATTATGATTGCTGTAGTCGGAGCTCGATATGGAACTGGGTTACGTGCAATGCGAATAGCAACTCGTGGATGTGGACTACGCTTAACTCGAATCAGAAAGGACAGATGAAGTGGGTACAAGATGATTACATGATCTATAACTATTGTACTGATTACAAGAGGTTCCCTCAAGGCTTTCCCAAAGAATGCTACCTTGACTGATCATGTTACCGAAAAAATTCAAGAACTTGATGCAGTTTTTCTCATTTCTTTATAATTTGACCTCATGATTTGTTTATTTGATTTTACTATTATACTGTTGACTTTTTTTCCATTTCTTATAACAATAATAAAATTTGATTCGAACCTAAGCAAACCAACCTGTGAATAGAGCAAAGAAACAGAGTATTCTGTTATGAAAACAGAGCAAATAACAGAACTCTTGTGTACAAACAAAAGAATCAGTTTTGTCAGTTATTTTTATGGGTTAATTTGCTAGATAACCATGAATAATATTAAGAATATAGCATGCTAATTGAAAAATTAGGAAAGTAACAAAGAGAAACATTTTTTGGACCGATTTCTCCTTTCATACGCATGTTATTTTCTCTCCACCCTAATCGAGAAGACGACGAAACATCGGTGTCACCACCCAAACTGGCTTTGCTCTGGTCGCTATAGGATGAGTGTAAAATGGGTCGCCGGTCTACGCCGATTTATTTCCGTGACGAGGACGATAGAACAAAGAAGAGATTGAGTGTCGTGGAGGTTAAGGGATGCGATAGATTTCGAAGAATACGGAAGACACTACGTGAATGTTCATTGCTTAATTGGAAGTCACATGCGAAGAAGACGGAGGAGCATCGGCGGTGCTCTGCTTCGCTTTGACGGACATGAGAATTGAGAAACGAGAGGCTAAGAAAGAGGGAAAAATACCAATGATGAAATTTATAGGTGAAAAATATGAAAATTTAAAAGTTTTAAAAATACCAATGATGTTACATGATGAGATTCTTTGAAGCAATACGATGAGTTTCTATGCCGGCACCGATCACACTACTCAATTTAATTCCAGTTTTGTGAACACATGCTTTCGAATCAAAATTCTCAAGAAATAAGTTGTGAACATGATGATGTTTTGTGGATCTATATACTATACTATTTCAGATCAACATCGAACTCTTTTTCTGGCCCAGATTTGGAATCGGAAACTTGATTTTTATCTCGGCAGCAAGAGAAAATTCTGGTTTATTCACGGCTAAATTTGTAGAAGACTGGTCATCTTTTTCTTAGTTGAACTCCATTCAAATGAATTTATATCTAAATAATTCGTAGATCTTAGAAGGTTGAAAAAGAATCTGAAAATTTCTTATGAAGAGCAAAATCTAATAAAAATCAGGCCTCGTTTTTTTCTGAAATCAATTTATTTCTCATCCATGAAGGTCAATTTGGGCATTATTACAGAAAATACAAACAATATTCTAACCATGACTTCACTATGATATTTTGTTAATATTTGGTTTTTTTTATGGTTATCTACTTATATTTCCCTATTTTTATTGAACTGGGCCTTGGGTTTTTTTCTGAAAATAAGTCAATGTTACTAAACATTCAACTCAAAATGTTTGACTTTCCATGGTACCGATAGATTCAACTACGTAACCTTTTTTTTTTATATAACTCACATAAGTAACATTTAGAATTTTTGACGTCTGATTGATCATAAAACAGAACATAATCATTGTTGTAGAATTAGTCTAACTCATGTCTCATCTATCTTTCCTTTATAATATAAGTAAGTTGAAAACCATGATCGATTCAAGGTATATCTAATGAAGACTTTGATTGATACGACCACCGTTTTGGACCCACCGTTAAGTTCATTACGTCTAAAACTCTTAGTCGGTATTTATAGAACAAGAAAAATAAAACGAAGATCGATTAAAATGAGATAATAACACTGGGAGTTCCATTAGAAAATTTGTTGGTCTCTTGCAAACGATGGACAAGATTGGTAACTAATAAAGTTTAGAAGGTTGCATTTGTGTTTGGACGAAAACACTCATCTCTTACACATCTCTTCAATCATGTCAATAAAAGTTATCAAGATTCCATGTATCGACTTCGACGTGAAAGACATGATAAGTATTTTAACGATAAACCAGTTTGAAACTATATTGGCTGTCGACTCACACAAATCGGTTATTTATAATAAGAAGATGATAACGTTAAAAAAAAAAAAAAAAAAAAAAAAAAAAAGAAGAAGAAGAAAGATGATAACGTTAAATTTTAAACCACTTTTCAATTTTTTTTTTAAATAATAATTTAAACCTAATTTAATTTTATAGAAAAGAAATGGATAGTTCTCAGTTCTCACAAATTTCAAAAGTAGCATAACATTGACTAAAAAACATTTTCATAATAGGGTAAATCCAAATTGTAATGGAAAACTCAAACATAATGCTCTATGTGTTTAGGTAAAAAAATTCAAAAAATGAATTACACATATCCAATATGAGTAATATGTTTCCAACACTAGAGTGTACTCCTTCTGTTTTATAACAATATTGTTTTGACATTTTAAGTTGGCACATGACTACATGAGCACATCATATTCTAATGTTAAGATGAAATTACATTAAAACACCTTGTAGTTAGTATAAAATAATCTACTTCAATTAATATGACATTAGCTTTTTCAGTTTCTTTGTGAATTTTTCTTGTGTTCAAATTAACATTACTTTTAAGGCCATGAAGAAGGGAAACATTATCTCGAGGAAATGATCATGGTGACTTGCTCAAATCAGACATTGCATTATTGAATCTAAAGTCATATTTTTAATTCTGCATTTTCTCATCTCATACACGCCACTAGATTTATATACCTTCACTCGGGTCTATATTATTTTCCTTACATCAAATTGTTCGCTCACATTAAATACCGCCAATGAACCAAATCGAATTAAAATTAGAAAGCTACATACTGTACATGTATAATTGTATACCAAGGCAAATTATTATGTTCACCTTATGTAATGTTTCTTAACTTTCTTACAGATTAAAATAATTGTCGCTCATGTTTTTATTAATTTCAATATCGCACTGTAAACTTTGGTCTTTTTTCTATTTGAACTGTGTAAACTTTGGTTTTGCCGGCTGTCATATGCTTAAAACTAAGAAACAAATGCACGATCGATAAGAAAGTACCAAGTACAAGTAATAATTTTACGAAAATTAGATTTCCACATTAGGAGGCTGAAAACTTTTACAATTCAACAAAAAATGATACGTCAACAACCTTTTTTCGTGATTAGTCCCCTCATAATTAAATTACTTTTAGAACGGTACAATTTATGGTGAACTATTATAAATCGATCACAAAAATTATTGGAAAAATCAGATAATAGAATAATCAAGATATAACCATTAGTAATTCTTAAGAAAAACACATCAGATGATACTATTTCAAAAATATTATAATATATAATTCTAAAATAAATTTAGCGAAACATTTTGTTGTAGGATATACGGATTTAGTCTATCGACTTAGGTTTTTATGTGGTGTGTGTTTGTAGTGTGTACTAAACGAAACCTTTGATTGATCATTGATGGCAGTTGAGAGTCAGGAAGCTTACAAGTACCAAAAATGTTTCAAGAAGTTTATTAAGAAAAAAAAACACATTAGAATCTTACCATGCTGTTCCGTTTTTTATCAGTTATTTAAATTATAGTTTTGAAATAGTATTATTTAGTCATTTGAAAGTAAGACTTATTATTTTCAATTCAATATAAAAATTTCAAAATTTAGTATTAGAACCATTTCCCTTTTACAATAATTAAATAATTTCAATAATGTCAATTAATTTTTTATAATTTGAAAGTTAGATCAAACATGCTATAAATACGAACATGGTGATAATGCTCATCATATATGAAGAACATACCATACTTGTGGTATTTGAATGAAAGAACAAAAAAAAAACTTATGAGTAAATGACGTATGAGCTGAGGAACGTAAGTGAAATATACCGGTAGATACGTATATGTATGTATTTAATTATTTATTGATGTCATCTGTGGACTGTGGATAAATGTTATATA